AAGACGTTATACCCCTTTTCATTTCTCTTTATAACCTAGCATCGAAAGTCGGTGAGGAAACATAAAATATTTCATTATTAAAAATGTATTTTGAGTGCCGTTGTCGTGCTTGGTGTTAAAATTGCTTGCAGGAATAAACAATGTGACGAAAGCTCTTTGTGTAACCTGCTTTTGTGGTTTCGATCCAAAGCTTTTAAAGGTCAAGGAGTGGGGTCACATGCCTCAATTCATGGATTGACTCGGCACTAGTAAAGGAACCTAAATAGCTTATATTGGGTTGAACGGACGTGAATTGAAATACGTGTTGGATTGGAGGAGCCAACGCTGGCTCGCTAGTCTGGGGGTCGAGTGTTCGATCCCTGCATTGGCCGAGAAAGTTCATCGTGATTTTCCAACGTGGTTCCCCCTTGCCAGTAGTGCAGGACAGCTGTCTAGTCCTTTGGATGGTACGAAAACCTGAGGTCCCGTTTTTACATTGGCATACACATAGAAGATCCCTTGGCTGTTAGAATTCGATATAATAATAGTAGGCCATAATACCGCTGCCCGGGCACAAATCTCCCCCATAGCACACTGTATGACGTATGCGCGTCTTTATTAGCCCAGTCGGAGCAGAACAGTAGGACACTAAACCCCATTTCATTTCGTGTTGCGTTGGCTTTGAATCTCTCTCTCTCTCTCTCTCTCTCTCTCTTATACACAGAGATTGAGAAGCTGCAATGATATACTACTGGTTTTGTCACATTCTACTTGTAATTCTGTTACATTATTAAGTGAAACTCTTGGGTCTAGACATATATAACACTGTCATTGTAATTCTTAATTCATTTTATCCATTGATTTTCTGGAGACAGAATGTGTATGTATGAATATCGTATAGGGTAGTCAAATAGGTATGGTTAAGTTGTCCAACATTTATCGCTTGGGGTAATTGCAATAAAACTGTATTTAAAGTACAAAAATATATAATATATATAAAATCCTACTTTATAAAAATTACTAAAATAGAACCTTATAAAAATTACTAAAATACTACTTAGTAAAGATTACTAAAATACAACTTTATAACAATTTCTAAAATACTACATTATGAAAATTACTAAAATACTACATTATGAAAATTACTAAAATACAATTTTATAAAAATTACTAAAATACTACTTTATGAAAATTACTAAAAATACTACATTATAAAAATTACTAAAATTCTACTTTATAAAAATTTCGACCTTATGAAAATTACTAAAATACCCCTTTATGGAAATTACTTAAATACTACTTCATGAAAGTTATGAAAATTACTAAAATACTACTGTATGAAAATAACTAAAATAATACTTTATGAAAATTACTAAAATAATACTGTATGAAAATTACTACATTTTGTAAATTACTAAAATACTACTTTATGAAAAACATTTTCTTAAATAAAAAGTACGAAAATTGTGAAAATATTATGTTATGAAAAGTAGGAAAATATTATTTTATGAAGAGTACGAAAATAATAATTCATGGAAAGTATGAAAACTAGGCGGCTGTATGCCTGGGACGGTGATCAACTAGAATATCATAATAGTATGCACTGATAATAGCGCCCAAGACACTTAAAGGTAGGGTGCTGTCTGTGGAACTGATAATTCGATTGACATGTGTTTAGTCGTCCGATTTAATGATGGTTGGTCTCAAAAAATAATATGTTTACTTATTAATTGTCAATTGCTGGATTGGAAGTTCAAATTATGGTCACCGCTTGCCTCCTCTCTCTAACCTCTCCCCTCTCGTCATGCATTCACTATGTTCTTCTTGTATTGACCTCCCTCCCTTCTGGAATTTCTGGATCCGCCATCTCCCGGGATCCAGTCCCCGTTTGACAAATAATATTTAATTTAACGAGAAAGATGGAACGAAGTCACAAATCTGATTAAATTTCAACAAATAGGATCAAGGAAACATTTAAATGGAGGCTTATCGCGTTCTTCCTTCTCCAATATTTAATACCAAACTGACAGCCGCGTGATTAATAGCCGGGGGACCATCATGTCATCAACTTACAAGAGTACAAGATTATTGATCAGGCTCCCAGTTCACTTTACGGATTATCCCCAACAATTTGATGTTTTTTCTTTCGCTTTCATCTTTTGATACGAAGTTTAACAATGGAATTCGATCATAGCTGGAAACTAACGAGATAACAATGTTAAAGTTTCATTTTGTACCTGGTTTGGCGCGATAACGTATGTTAGTTACAAAGCAACGCAAAAGACTGGGATGTTTTGCAAGTAAATTAAGATGTATGGACGAATCAATGAGAGAGCGAGAGAGGGGAAGTGGGGTTTAACGTCCACTCAAGATAAACTTGGTCGTTGCGGGACTAACTTATGGTACATGGGTCTTTAGCAGTGGGCGGAAACCAGAAGACTAGTAGAAAACCCACGTAGTTGGACAAGCGACGATACTACTTACCACATACAAGCAGGGAATCGAAACTACGCCACTTGACTCAATGTCAGACCTTATAATTTCACGCGCACGCGTCTACCATTCGACCTCCCTAAACCTCACGAATCAATGAAATGTGGCCAAAGGTCTCAAAAGAATAGGGGGGATGGATGGCCGAATGGTTAGTACGTGCGCGCTGCGCTGTATCTTACGGTCTGTCATTGAGTCAACTGGCGGGGTTTCGATTCCCCGGTTGTACGTGACAAGGAGTAGGGTCGCCTGTCCAACCTCGTGGGTTTTCTCCGGGTTTTTCCGGTTTCCTCACACTGCTAAAGACCCCTACGCGCAAGCGAATTATTGAAATAAAGTTAAACCATGTGTTGGTCCCGAAATGACCTAGTTTGTGTCGAGTGGACGTTAAACCCCATTTCTCTCTCTCTCTCTCAAAAAAAAATACTTGATTATGGAAATTATTATTTCAGTGGTTACGTGTTCAATCAGTCTTAAGGGTTCTTTAACGTGCACGCCAATATGTACACAGGTGAACCCCAGTTGTCGTGCAATACAGAACCGCATAGTGCTTTTACACAGGGATCTTTAGTAAAGGAAGAACCCGACGAAGTTGTGGAGATGTGGCTTAGTCTGTACTTCAGCCTAACCGGCGTTTTCTGTCAAGTTAGCTGTTAAATTAGTTTATGTCATTGTCTGGCGGTAACCTTTTAAGAAAGAACATTGGCTTCTAAATCAATGTTTTAATCTTCGCTGAGAGGTGCACTATATGGATCAACATCAGATGAAAACCAATAATGCAAAATAAGGGAGATAACTCTCTTTAAGAACAACATTTCTATCAAGCGCCTTTTTGCCCTTTCGCCGTCTTCATTAGCCCAGTTCGGGGTAGAACAGTAGGACGTTAAACCCCATTTCATTTCATTTCATTTTGCCTTTTCATTTAATAGCGATTCCATGGCATTGTGCTTTCTAATTATTGATAATTAATAGCAATGCAGGAGGTTTGCACACAGAGACAGTAAACATGCAATAAATGAAATTAAATTAAATGGGGTTTAACGTCCTACTGTTCTGCTCCTATGCTGGGCTAATGAAGACGGGCATACGCCATACAGTGTGCTATGAGGGAAATTTTGCCCGGGCAGCGGCACTATCGCCTACTCTTATATCGAATTCCAACTGCCAAGGGATCTTTTACGTGCATTCTAATGTATACCGAGGTCTGGGTTTAACGTCCTACTTTTCTGCTCCTAAACAACATATAATAACATATTGAATTTTAAAACTGAACCAAGAGCTGTAAACAACCCAACTAAAGTTTATGTGGATTATATGTATTGGGGCGAGCCTCTTATACCACCACCCCACCCCATTCCCAAGTTTTCGTTAATTCGAATACGATCCACATGTCAGTTCGCATTCGTGTTCATTAGGTCACTGCCCATAGGTCACTCTCCAATATAAGATCACAATACCAAGATGTACTGGAAGGTTGGATGACTGAATGGTTAGCACGTGCGGGCTGTATCATAAAGTCTGTCATTGAGTCAACTGGCGGGGTTTCGATTCCCCGGTTGTACGTGACAAGGAGTAGGGTCGCCTGTCCAACCTCGTGGGTTTTCTCCGGGTCCTCCGATTTCCTCCTAACTGCTAAAGACCCCTACGCGCAAGCGAATTGTGGAAATAAAATTGAACCATATGTTAGTCCTGAAATGGCCTAGTCTGTGTCAAGTGGACGTTAAACTCCCAGATCTCCTCTTCTCTTCTTCCAAGATGTACCGGTGACGTCGTCGTAGTATTACGGTCTTAATGTTTTTGAAAGTTTCTTACAGGAGTCTCTGCTCATACTATACGCTTTAAACACTGGTCCTACTATAAACAATCACATTCAAACAGATTCATGCCATCATCTCTTGAGCTTGAGTACCTTAGTCTACGGCTAAACGATATTTCATGTCTATCTACGACAAAATGGTATCTAAACTACGTTTTTAAGTCCGTAAAATCCTTAATTGCCGCCTAGCGCATCGCGGTTTTGGTTTAAAAGTTATTATTGTTGATTGCTTGCCTAATGCCAGACCCCCACTACCAGGATTCGTGCTACGATTGAAATCGTGGTTTTAATCGTGGAGTAATCGTGGTGATCCTATCAGGTCTTACCATATATTGAGGCCAGTTGTAGCAATCGTGTTGAGCGTATCAAAACGTATCCGAACGTATTTGTACGTACCAGGGGTCTGTTTCACTAAATTTTAACTAAGATAAAATCTAAATTTTAGTAATTTGATTGGATAATATTAGATTCATTTTAGTGCTTAGCCAATCAAAATTGAAGTATCTACTAAAATTTTGATTTTATCTTTAGTTAAAATTTCGAGAAACAGGGCCCAGATCGTCAACTTAATAGGGACAATCCTACCATAACTGATCACACGACAGTGGGAACCTAGAATAACGTATTCAGGTTTTTTTAAAATTGTTATTGCTGTTTATTACATTCCTAACGTATTAAGGTTTTGTTTAAATTTGTATTATTGTTTATTTTTCAGTTGTTCAGATTTTGTGCGGGTGTTCCAGAATTTAGATCGACCGGAAGTAAATGAATATAGTAAACATGACGTAGAATTGTGCGGTAATATCAGCATGATTGATAAAAACTTTTATTCCAAAAGTCGCAGCTTAGTTTTAGAATTTCACGCCGATGGCTTGCCAGGGGGGAATTACTCCGGTTTTCAAGGATTATTTCATTTTAGAGATAAACGTAAGTATATTGCATAGTTTAGTTATATTCATAAGAACATACGAATTACTATTTGAATTAAAGCGACGTTTCGTTAAAGATACATTATGGGAGATTCGATAACGAGTTGGTAGTTCTCACTATAATAGTTATTAACTAGATAATGTTAAGGAATTTTGCTGAAAATTTCATTCAAATTGTTCCACTATGAACCGAGAACTAAGCGATTGAAATTTCCGCCTAGCCTCGGTCATCATTACTAAAGTCAGTACGATAAACAGCATAGTCTCGTTTATCCAGTTAATCGTTAAATCGTGAAGGAAAGTTATGCAGTAAATCGGCTCATAATTCACTAACGATCGCAGGCTAGCGATGCCATGCACAGTTGATTAGGGTCTGGATAGGTTAATTAATGTCTAATGGGATCATAATCCATTAAATATCGCAGGCTAACGATGACATCGAGAGTTGATTATGGCATGGATAAGTTAATTAATGTCTAATTAATAGATAACTAGATACATGTAAGACCTGCAATAGACAGATTTAGCTCTTGCATAATGTATGTTTAAGGTGTATCTCAACGTTATCAAGCAAATAATAACGCTGAGGAGGAAACTCCCAAACGCAAAGCTGCTTTAATTAAAATAGTAATTATGTTACATATTATGTTTTGGTGTTGATTGTGTGCGCCAATTGCTAAATGCCCCTCAAAGAAGAAAATAAAAATTGTAAAACCATGTTTTATTATTATTTTGGGGGGCGGGTGTAGGATTTTTCAAAGTGGGACGAGATATGGCACTGTTATAGATATTGTGTTCATTGTGGGAAGGGGATATAGCTTTAATTCTTACGCCATACTTTTATAGATGTTCGATCTATTATGGAATGAACATAGGGTCATAATTCTTACTTTAGAATAGTAACTTAATATTCTCGTTAGTGCTCTAAATGAGGGTATTCCACGTCCGCTTCCACTTGGGTGATATAGCTGTCAGAATAGTCAAACTTAACAGGTACATTATTTAGAGACATATGGATCATAATTCCCTACTACAAACTGTATTGTAAAATTTTAATAATCGCTACACATCGAGATAATCTTTATGATGGCCACAACAATGTTGTAGATTATTTTGTCAACTCTTACATCACAAGAAACATGGTAGTGTTATGTTTTTTCACCATTGAAAATATGCCTTTCAGCTTCATTTAGGGAGAAAGATGGCGTCATAAGGCCCAGAAGAGTCGATGTTGTTAACACTTGGGGTAATTTATTGAACTGTGTGAAACTCTAATAATCAAATTATCCTCTAACTTTTAACTTCTGATTTCTCAGTGAATAATTCCATTATCCCAAATAACAAGTCAATTATTGAACTTTTAACTTCTCAACTCTCAGAGAATAATTCCATTATGCCAAATAACAATCCAATTATTAAACTGTGTTGAACTCTAATGATGCAAATCATCCTTTAACTTTTAACTTCTAAACTTTAAGACAGTGATTCTCAACCAGTGTGCCGCTTAAGTGTGTCGCGAAATTTTGAACGGCACACCATGGTCCATAAGCACAGTAAGAATATTTCTCACTAAAGAAGCCAGCTAGTTGACATATGCAATTCGAAACACTGCACTAAAGTAAAGTTCATGGCTGTGTTTTTTTCTATATGTAGTTTGAGTCATTATATGTGTCTATGACTAGTCTGTGACTACGGTTGTATGCCGTCTATGACTTGCCATGTTTATATTTTGCAAAATTCAAATATTTTTCATATATTATATTTAGTTAGACCTGGTGAGCCGCTATTCTTTCATGTGTTCCAAGATGTGCCGTTGGCAACAATAGGTTGAGAACCACTACTCTAAGAGAATAATTCGATTTTCCCAAATAACAACCCAATTACAAAATTAGATCTTTATTTCGTTTTCATTTATATGGCTTTGATTCAGAATAATCTGATATTGAAAAAAAACTGGAATTGAAAATGAGCCATACTGCTTCTAATTTGAATCAGTCAGCTTTTCGCGGATAAATCATGAATTCGTGACTATTACTTTCCAAACCAACGATCTTGATTTCGTTGAATTCGTATGGTTTTAGTATCTTGCAGATAAAACAATGAATATCATTATGACTATCCAATATGTGTATCAAATAGGATTTCCATGGTTGTATTGGGGGTGGGGGAGGCAACTTATTTATCTAATTTGTTCTTGAAACATTAACGTTTTAAACGACCCCCCACCCTCCATTTTCTACTGGAGTCTCGGTGGCTAAGTGGATAAGACGCTGGTTCGCTAGCCTGGAGGTCGGGTGTTCGATCCCTGTATTGTCCGAGAAAGTTCACTCAGATTTTCCGGCGTGATTCCTCCCTGTCAGTGATGCAGGACGGAGGGCCTGGCAAGGACAGCTGCCTAGTCGTTCGGATAGTGCGAAAAATCAAGGTCCCATGTACACATTGGCGTGCACGTAAAAGATCCCTTAACAGCTGTCCGGGCAAAATTTCCCTCATAGCACACTGGCGTATGCCCGTCTTCATTAGCCCAGTTTAGGAGCAGAACAGTAGGACGTTAAACCCCGTTTCATTTCATTTCCATTTTCTACTGTTGCATTTTATACATCTGTACATCTCTCTTACTAAAATCATATAATAGCTAATGATGTAACTTCCGCTTTAAGAATCTCATCTTCACAGTGTGAAATGTATCATGGTGTATTTATCCTCGACTGCAATTATTTTGTTTGTCATAAGTACCATCTGATATCACCTCTATTCTGTTTGGGGAATTCGCATAGGCAACTGTAGTAAGCGAAGGGGAGGATAGAGCCTTTCGTCATCATGGTTATTTACGTTCGTTCTATGCTCAAGTGTGTAATGCTGGGCGGGGGGTGGGGGTCAGAGAGAATTTTGACTAGACTTCCCAGATGATACACATGTGCGCTGATGATTGGTTCCGCTGATTTTGTTGTAATATATATTATCTAGAGAGACGGGTTTTACATATATTGTTCCCTAACCCCGTTTGGTTTTAATAAGCCAGTTACATCCAGTTAGTCCAATCAAACTTGCAATCAAACAATCCAATCAAAACGTCGGTTCTATTCAATCAAAACCATTGTTTTATAGAATGACAAACAGCCATATTGCAGTCAAGACCTAATACAATATATCCTTGTACGTTTCTCATTTGACAACCTGTGAAGATGTTAGATTCCTATGTATCCTATTATCTGAAATGATTCCAGATTGCCTGAATCTGAACGCTTTGTTTGGTGTGTTTTTTATGATTTAGATGTGTACGTTTTGTTTTGATAATATTCTTGGTTTGTCTTCAAATAATCTTTCCTAACGAAGTGATTTGTCTCGGCATGATATTTTTTATATTTTTAAAATTTGAATTCAATATCAGATCTGACCGACCTTTTGGGTGGAAGACATTTGAAAACAAAGCCCAACAATTAGGGCAGTGGTTTTTGCAACAGCTTCATAACTAATATGTGTAATTTAATGGTCGAGTGCGAGACATTAAGTGATATATTGATATTGTACGAGGGCAATATCTATATATGACGCAATGTCTGGCACGAGACATTTTAAAAAACTTTTAAAATACAGATGTGACGTCACCCTTTGATGTTGGCGTACCATTATTTCAAATAATCGTACGGGCAACTTGCCAATAGTACTTTATTCATACCAGTGAGATATTGGACTAGTGTGACGTAAAAGCTCGTGCGGAGTGTCAGTATTTTAAGATGTTTAATGGTCTCGAGCTTACGACATTGCGTAATATATTGTAAAAACATTCGGGCCTACGGCCCTCATATTGTTACAATATATTACTTAATGTCTCGCTCTCGACCATTAAACAATGCAAAATACACACACTATCCAGCACGTGCATTTCAATAAAATACGTCACGCGCGTCAAATATTGCAACTAGTACAAATAATGTACACCTGGCACATTCCCCGTACCATTATTTGACATAATGGTACGCCAACATCAAAGGGTGACGTCACATCTGTATTTAAGTAGTGTTAAGTTCTCACTCTGTTATGTACAACTTAGGGTTGTGTAACGTGCAGGCAGGGAGATAACCCGTTTTCTGATTTGCATTCGGACTGGGGAGAACTTACCGCTCGAGGAGAAAAGGCCGGTTGTAGAGATAGATAGGCCAGTTAGGAAGATACGACCAGCTGTGAAGATCAGACCGGTTACGGATATCAGGCATTTCAATACGAAAAATACATCTATTTCCGACTTTCCCAACCAGTGTGAAAATAGGCGCTCCCTAGTATAGGCCCGTCACCATTTCCGATCAAAACCAGTGTGAAAATAGACGCTCCCTAGCATGGTGCCCGTCTCCATTTCCGATCAAAACCAGTGTAAAAATAGACTCTCCCTAGCATAGTGTCCGTCTTCATTTCCGATCAAAGTACAGTTTTGGCGATAAACCTTAAATCTGGCGATTCTTTCGCGATAATTAATTCCTATGTACCGATTCTGTGTTGCCGAGAGTCACTGCATTCGTAGCTTTAATTTCGTTGCAAATGAACCATGTAAAAATAAATAAATTAAAGTGTTAATTATTATTATTATTTTTTTTGTATTTCAGATGAATATACTATATCTGGGACACGTGTTCCCGGAACTCAATGTACATATTATTTTACTAGCAATAATTATAACAAAACGGGGCGTTTTTTCTCGCCTAAATATCCCCAACCTTATCCTGCTTCTGCTACGTGTCAGTATCATTTTGAAGCATTACCGGGAGAGCGTGTACAATTATTTTTTCAAAATATACAACTTCATCATCAGGATACAAGGTAAGATATGACATCATTTTTATTTTACTGCCGATTTTGACACTATGCAACAAACTCTTAAACCGACATAAGAACTCGAGGACAAACTCTTAAACCTATATTGGTACTCGACAACAAACTCTTACACCGTCATTAGAACCTGATAACAAACTCTTAAACCGATATTCTGACAACACGCTCTTAAACGGACATTAAAACTTTGGAAATCCTCGATGTGAATATAAAATCGATTAGACTATAGTTTTATAAAATGTATTTCATACACAATTTAAGACATGTATGTTAACCCCTTGCCGAGATATAGACGATTTTAGGGTTATTTTGAGTATATCAATAACCATTAACATATTTTTAGAGAGTTCCAACCAATATAGTGTGATATCCCCATCATTACGTATTCCGTATTTTGTGTTCAGAGATGTTTTATAATTAGGATTAATAAATAATTTAAACATATATTCATATCAGCCATTATCATATTTATCTGCATTTTGTCTGACATCAGTGTGTTTTAATCGTTATTATTGTGTGAATTCTCTTCTTCGAAAACGTCTAATTTAAAATTCTTACCTGTCTAATTGTAGTATATTTATTGGAGTTATGTCCCTTTGCTCACTTCAGCGAGCCTTTATTCTACTTGAATGATATTAAAACAGAAAATGTCCTCTATTTTCCCCTTATCATAACCTATCTACTCAAAAACGTTTAATTTTAAAATTCTAGCTGTCTAATTGTACTTTCTTTATTGGAGTTATGTCCCTTGGCTCACTGTAGCGAGCATTTATTCTATTTGAATGCTATTAAAACAGAAAATGTCCTCTATTTGTCACTTTATCATCACTTATCTAGTATAATCACAGCTTTTTTCTTTTATTTAAATTTTGTTCACTACAGCTATGGATGGGGCAGGTAAAGTATGAGAACGAAATTTAAAAAAAAATCTATATATAAATAAATAACAATATTGATTTAAAGTAGAGAGTTCATATTACTGTATCTAATATGTTTGTAGACACAAAAAGCACGAACTTCAGCTTTGATCATTAATAATAGTCGACAAGGTGTGGCTTACGGTGTTGCTTATAATATGCTTAACAATATCTCGACCCAAGTTGTCTCCCCCTTTGTGTTATTCCTAACGTCGCATGCGACTTGGATAATATTTGTGCCCATTCTTAATATGTGTGATTTCCTGTTTAACAAGTAATATTTCAATTAGTGTTACTAATAACAACATGATATAGACATTATCCTCGTCGTTTTACAGTTCAAATTTACAACTGTAGAGTTATCCCCCTTTAATATATACTATACACACGCTTCTCTGTTCTTTGCGAGTTCAACTCTTAATCTCACCCACTGTTCCACACGTAGATAAATCTTTTAACCTCCGAATTCACAATCCAAATATTCACGTCCCCCCATCTTGATATCACCAACGTCGTAAACCTATCCTTTCAAATAATAATCACAACATGGAAAATAATTGTTAATGTTAATAATTACTCTGATGATTCTGTCACGTGGATTACACAGCGCAGTTTTGTTTGTTTGTGATCGATATATATTTATGAAATTCTGCATTTATATATTAATTATTTATAACTACTGGTCGTCAGTTGTGGTTTTCAGACCATATTTAATTTTCCACATCGCTACTGTAAGTGGGTAAGACGCTGGTGCGCTAGTCTGGAGGTCGGGTGTTCGATCTCTGCATTGGCCTAGAAAGTTCAATTCAGATTTTCCGGCGTGGTTTCCCCTTGTCAGTGATGCAGGACGGAGGGCCTGACAAGGACAACTGTATAGTCGTTCGGATGGGACGAAAAACCGAGGTCCCGTGTACTCATTGGCGTGCACGTAAAAGATCCCTTGACAGTTGGAATTCGATATAAGAGTAGGCCGTAGTGCCACTGTCAGGGCAAAATTTCCCTCATGGGACACTATTAGGACGTTAAACCCCATTTCATTTCATTTTCATTTCATTTCTACTCAAAATAATTACTTAACGTTTCATTCAGGAAACCAAGATATCAAAAGCAGATAATCTCGCGGCATGGATTCAGTCGGATTAAACAAAAGATTTTACCCATCACTTATAGCGGGCGCTGATTTGTTTACGTCGTCTGCAGAGAAATTCTAATATTGCGAAATTCTCAGTTGAAAATAACGATCGGAATTCAATTATTTTAACTGGAGGTCGGGTGTTCGATCCCTGCATTGGCCGAGAAAGTTCATCCAGATTTTCCGGCGTGGTTCTCCCTTGTCAGTGATGCAGGACGGAGGGGCTGACAAGGAAAGCTGTCTAGTCGTTCGGATGGGACGAAAAACCGAGGTCCCGTGTACACATTGGCGTGCACGTAAAAGATCCCTTGGCAGTTGGAATTCGATATAAGAGTAGGCCGTAGTGCCGCTGTCCGGGCAAAATTTCCCTCATAGCACACTGTATGGCGTATGCCCGTCTTCATTAGCCCAGGTTAGGAGCAGAACAGTAGGTCGTTAAACTCCATTTCATTTCATTTCATTTCAATTATTTTAAAGCTTTAATTTTTACATTATTTTTGTTTACGTGAGAGAAATCATCTAAATTCCAACAAATGATAATTAACGGCTTAAATGTAGTAAAATGTATTTCGTCTCCAGCTACAAAAGAAAATGTTACCCCTAAAAACTTTAACAGCATATGGACCGCGTACACCTTTTAACTAGTGTTTTTTTTTAAATTGATCTTAATGTTACCAAATAGCAGCTTCGAGTGGATTTTAGGGGTTAAATCTATCCCGATAATGATCCGTAAACAGGAAGTAGTCAAAAAGATATTCGATATTTAAAAAAAAAGACAGTAAAAAAATCGGTGCTCTTGGAACAATCGGGATTTCGCCGTCGGGTGTGACCGGATCAAAACATCTAAAGTATCGTTTGGTAGCTCGATAAATGGGCTATTGTATGACACACTTCCTGTCTGATTCCTGAAAGTCGGTTCAGTGCTGCTTGCAGGTCTAGTTATTATTATTATTATTATTTGTTTTTACCGAATATATAAATGATGGAGCCGTAAACATTATTACAAAATTTAATACATGAAGCTCATCAGATTTTTCGTTCACAATTGCGAACAAAATATTGCTTTGTAATCCATATGATAGAGACAGCAGATTTATTCATAAAACTTATAAACGTTTTAAGAAATATTTTTTACCTTTTTGTTTCAGCTGTCGTGATAGCCCAGATGCTGTAGTTGTTTACGATGGACGGGACAATAGGAGTAACGTCATTGGACAATATTGTGATATACACAATCAAGTTGAATTAGTGTCCTCGGGCAGATATCTATTTATTGAATTTTATTCGGATGATCGCCACGCAAAGAAAGGATTTTCCGCAACATATAAGTTTATATCCTATTTACATCCGCCGGACAAAAATTATCATAAAGACACTCAAAATGGCTCACGTAAGTAACGTTTCTTGCTTTAACAACCATAATTGCTCCTTTAATCTGGAAAATCCTAGTAGGTCTGTTGACTATATGTCTGGCTGTGATAACCAGGGGGTTGGATGGCCGAGTAGTTAGCGTGTGCGCGCTGCATCATAAGGTCTGCCAGTGGTTTCCATTACCCAGTTGTACGTGACAAGGAGTAGAGTCGCCTGTCCAACCTCATGGGTATTCTCCGGGTCCCACATTTTCCTTCCAATGCTAAAGACCCATACGCGCAAACGATTTATTAAAATAAATTGAACAATATGTTAGTTCCTAAATGACCTAGATTCTCTATCTCCCCCCCCTCCCCCCCTCTCTCTCTCTCTCTCTCACACACACACACCTATATATTTATACTGAAATAATATCTGTCTTATTCTTTACATCAGTGCTTGACTTGCATGACATACTCTCTCTCTCTCTCTCTCTTTCTCTCTCTCTCTCTCATTTCTCTACATTCTATGTTTTCTATCTATTAAAGGTGGTACTCCTTGGGGATCTAAAATAACAACACTATCTCCTGGTAAGTTTATATATTATTTTAAACATTAAGGCACGATCTGAAGCAGGTGCGTGTTCACCCTAATCTAATGCAGTGGTTCTGATCCAGTGTGCCGCGAAATTTTGAACGGGACACTAAGAAAATGCGAAAAGCCACTTGATCCCAACTGAGTATTCACTTGTTTCTACTGGAACGTTCATATCTGGTTTTTTTTCTTTATTTAGTTTGAGTCATTCTATGTTTCTATGACTAGTTTCTGTCTATCAGTGTATGCCGTCTATGACTTGTCATGTTTTTATTTTGCAAAATTCAAATATTTTTCATATATATTTAGCCAGGTGTTCCGCTATTTTTTTTTCATGTGTTCTAAGGTGTGCCGTTGCAAAAAAAAAAGTTGAGAACCACTGCACCTAAATGAGTAGAAATGCTGTCTCACCACTTCTGTCTTGATCAAATTATCGGTTAATCCCCCTGATCGCACGTCAAACATGACGTTGTCTCCACCGCGGATACCCTCCTGCTGAGATTCCTGAACACGGCCAAACTGCTCAGAACCTAAAACAGTTTGTTTTTATTAAGACCCTATTTTTAATTATTTATCATAACAGCACAAACCCTATATCATGGGACATAAACCCGGCATCTCGAACTGGTTTCAGACTATTAATTTTCCCCATTTTGACTTCAGTGTTACATCCATGCCATTATTTTCCCATAACATTTTATATTTAAAAAAAAAACAACACAAGCATACATATATCAAGGGACATAATCCATCCCGGCATCTCTAGTAACTCTCTATTTATTTAAACACATCAATGTTACATCCACGCAATTCTATAACCTATAGCATTTCTTTAACATTCCGATGATCACAATCATTATAACCACAAACAGCCCAACATATGTCACTATCATCTGATACAAATAGTGACGCGGGAGGGGGGGCGCATCTATAAAATCAAACACTCTTCTTCAGTTCTAGATAACGATTGAGTTAAGCATGGCACGCAAGAGTGATTAAACAGTGGTTAAAAACACTACATTCGGTGGGTATGTAGACAAAGGGGGAGCAATTACTGGTCTTAATCCACCTGCATGACCACATAACAACAACAAATTGTTTTTCATTGACTTTAATGTTGGTTCTCGTCCGTGTGACCGGCTTTAATTTATTTTTGATCTCCAAATTATTGTTGGGTGGGACCTTTATTCCAGAGATGCGATTCACCAAGGAAATCTAGAAATACACAAACTGAAAGTAGCACACTTTATAACATCCAACTAGCTCAACTATATGTCCTACATCACAACTATATGTCCTACATCACAACTATATGTCCTACATCACAACTATATGTCCTACATCACAACTATATGTCCTACATCACAACTATATGTCCTACATCTCAACTGTATGTCCTACATCACAACTATATGTCCTACACAACTACATAGTTCCCACATCACAATTATATGTCCTACATCACAACTATATGTCCTACATCACAACTATATGTCGCACACCACAACTATATGTCCTACATCACAACTATATGTCCTACATCACAACTATATGTCGCACATCTCCACTATATGTCCTACACAACTATATGTCCTACATCACAACTATATGTCCTACATCACAACTAGATGTCCTACATCTCAACTGTATGTCCTACATCACAATTATATGTCCTACACAACTACATAGTTCCCACATCACAACTATATGTCCTACATCACAATTATATGTCCTACATCACAACTATATGTCTTACATCTCAACTATATGTCTCACATCTCCACTATATGTCCTACATCACAACTATATGTCCTACATCACAACTATATGTCGCACATCTCCACTATATGTCCTACACAACTATATGTCCTACATCACAACTATATGTCCTACATCACAACTAGATGTCCTACATCTCAACTGTATGTCCTACATCACAATTATATGTCCTACACAACTACATAGTTCCCACATCTCAACTATATGTCCTACATCACAATTATATGTCCTACATCACAACTATATGTCCTACATCTCAACTATATGTCTCACATCTCAACTATATGTCCTACATCACAATTATATGTCCTACATCACAACTATATGTCCTACATCTCAACTATATGTCTCACATCTCCACTATATGTCCTACATCACAACTAGATGTCCTACATCACAACTAGATGTCCTCCATCACAACTATATGTCCTGCACGACTATATGACCTACATCTCAACTATCTGTCGTACATTTCAACTGAACCAACCTCTTTAACTATATTTTCCCAAATCATGAATATTCAGCAAAACCTGACTGACAAAGTAAATTGAAACCTTCGACTTTAATTCTAAGTAAAAATGTAAAGAAAAAGAAAACGCCACACGAAAGATGGCAAAACAAGAGAAAGTGACGGAAAGGCCATACAGAAAGCACAACATTCGTGGGATAACCAAATGTAAGAATGATTTTCTAGGGAATACTTTCATTGGTATTTAGTGGTCGACGAATAATCCTTGATGTGCTCTAAATCCATAAAACGTGTATTTATTAAAGGCTCGATGCGTCATTTGCATTTCTGCTAAAATATTTGATTTCTCACTGTAAGAGCTAAATCTGCTAATTGCAGGTCTTTCTTTGGGCCTGAAATGTTATCTACATTAATAATTAGACATTAACTAACTTGTCCAGGCCATAAACTACTCTTGATGTTATCACTAGCCTGTGATATTCACTGGATTAGAACCCGGTTTGCTGCTTCTGATTAAATCAAAAAATGGATAATCAAGACTATGTTTTTTATCGTACCGACTTTAGTAATGATGATCTAGGCTAGGCCCAAAATTCTATTGCTTAATTCTTGGTTCAGAGTGGATCAATTTGACTGAAATTTTCATCAAATTTCGTTTGCATTATCTAGTATTTAACTAATATTATAGTGAGAACTGTCAGTACTTTATCTAATCCCCCATAATGTATCTTTAACATTTAAATATGTAAGGGGGATCACGTGGCTAAGTGGGTAAGACGCTGGCTCACTAGCCTGGTGGTCGGGTGTTCGATCCCTGCATTGGCCGAGAAAGTTCATATAGATTTTCCAGCGTGGTTTCCCCTTGTGACTGATGCAGGATGGAGGGCCTGACAAGGACAGTTGTCTAGTTCGGATGGGACGAAAAACCGAGGTCCCGCATACACATTGACGTGCACGTAAAAGATCCGTTGGTAGTTGGAATTCGATATAAGAGTAGGCCGTAGTGCCGCTGCCCGGGCAAAATTTCCCTCATGGCACACTGTATGGCGTATGCCCGTCTTCATTAGCCCAGTTTAGGAGCAGAACAGTAGGACGTTAAACCCCATTTCATTTTATTTCATTTAAATATGTAAAAATACCAACCCCAGATAACCTACTGGCATGGATGCAATGAGATTTAAACTATGTCCCCTGTGGTTAAACAGCTACAGATGACATTTCAATTTATCATATTTTTGTATATAGTTAACATAATGGAACCGAAATACCAAAGCTAGACAACCTGGTTGGTCCTGGATGATTAAGATAAGCTATAACCAAAAAATAAAATCGTGACATTCAAAATGGCGACTACCATGAGGTTACTTGTCCTCTTAATCCGATAACTTCACAAATCTGTTGTCTGTGCATTGCTTATTTGAACCAATGCGCATCACGCTTATTATAAAACGTTTTTGTCGAGTTCAGTTTAATGTTGGACTTCAGTTCTAGAAGAAGGAATCCATCAAATGTTGACATTACGTGTTGTAAGATTCTACCATGTTGACACCCGTCAAGTTGCACGCAATATTCCTATCAGCACGGGTTGTAATACATCATGCAATAAGACAGTTGAGTATTGGTGGTATTAACACATAAACCAAGATGCATTTAAAATCATTTTGCTTTTTTTCATCTCGCTTTGGTATAACCTTAAAGGGACAATAACACTCTTGCTGGCTTGACATCTCCAGTAAATAAATATTAGCCTTATTCTAAGTATTAGATGTTTAAGTGTCCTACCTGTTGTGTAAATTATCCATTACATCCTATTTTACTTGTCCAGAGGGTCCGAAAATATTTTTTAAATCCAAGTCACATTTGAAAAGGTTTACGTTAGGCTTTTCAAATCATTTAGTTGAATTTTTTCATTTTTTTAAATTAGATGTGTTAAGATGAAATTTGTATCATCAATTAATTGGAATACTGTAAAATAGTACAATTTGTTGACCAGAATAAAGATTGGGACATATTATTATGTTACAACAAGAGTGGTATTGAGCCTTTAAAGGGGAAATATTGTTATAAATTTGTTGGGTTTTTTTTTTTAAAAAAAAAAGACCCATGTCCATTTTTTGAATGACGTTAAAACATACAATGGTTCTCGGCAAACTTACAGAATCTAACAATCTTCCACATTTCTCAATGGGGGTTGGATGGTCGAATGGTTAGCGCGGGCGCGCTGTATCATAAGGTCTGTCATTGAGTCAACTGGCGTGGTTTTGATTCCCGGTTGTACGTGAGAAGGAGTAGGGTCGCCTGTCCAACCTCGTAGGTTTTCTCCGGGTCCTCTGGTTTCCTCCCACAGCTAAAGACACATACGCGCAAGCGAAGTAATGAAATAAAAATACAATTCAACCATATTTTAGTCCCGAAATGACCTGGATTTTGTCCAGTGGACGTTAAATCTCTCTCCCCCTCTCCCCCTCTCTCTCTCTCTCTCTCTCTCTCTCACACACACACACACACACACACACACATTCCTCAACGAAAACGTTTGAAGAGTCTAAAGGTTAAATTGGTTACAGTAAGTGATATGCATTGGACATTATACAATAATATAACAAGCATTGATATTAAACTGATATAAATGAACTGGAGTTGAACGTCCTGCTCCGACTGGGCTAATGTCGTGCTCCGACTTGTTTAACGTCCTGCTCCGACTGGGCTAATGTCGTGCTCCGACTTGTTCGGATGAGACGAAAAACC